TGGATGCTTTGGACCATCCGCGATAAGCTTGTGATTCAGAATGTTCCTCTTCAACGTGCGACTGGCGCAATCTTCAAAATGTGTGGTTACTTGCAGCTCTGGCGGCCATTTAGCCGCCCACGGGACCGGGAGGCCATCAACACCCTCCTCGCCGACCTTCGATCGATGGCCTTCCACGTGGCGCCCCCGCTGCCGCCGCCTCCTCCGGGGCCCGACTAGTCCCGTTGTCTGGGCTGCTGTGTGTGAGAGTTTTTCTGTTTTCAGGGCTTGTTGAATTGTGCCCTCAGCATTAACCCTTTGCTACCTCTTTGTGTTGAGACTTGTGTGTGTGTGAACCTTGTTGGATGTTTGGCTTGAGCAATTTGCTTTATAATATAAAGCGGGACGAAAGCCCTTTTCAGTTAAAACAAGCATGCAACCAAACAACATGTGTGCGTTTCTTCTCAACCCGGCTGAGAAGTATGTAGGCAAACAAACTATACCCAAAATATGGGTTTTAACATGTATTCACCCAGTCAAGGGCAACTCACTCATATATAGAGTCTTGTTAAAGAAGAAAATCTACCTGTCATCCAGAAAGTACAAATTTGGCAGATTTTCATAGCAGCCTTAAGCTAAGCAATCAGTACCACCACTAGCACCCAATCCATCGAAGGAAATGAGTAGGGTGGTTGGTTGAGCGAGCGCAGGAAATTGATTGAGCATCTGGACGCGGTGGGTCGCCGCGTCGCAATAATGCCACGACGAGCATACTCTATGTCCATGTCTTCAGATGTACTCCTACGTGTTGATCCATGATGGGTCACTGCCACGCCCCGTCCGCATCTCACACCACCACCTATCGAGCATTCGACCTCGAGCCACCGCATACTCTGTTCTTTCTTTGCCCGGCAAAGTTGATGTTTTCTTCTGGGCTGGCTGGGTAGATCACCATCTCTGGCTCAGGGATGACTCGGATGCTCATCGCCACATGGATGATGGCAAATCCGTCCGAGATATTCCAAACAAATCGACAACTTGCAGAATGTGGTGGACTAGATAGACAAGTAAAGCAGACGCCAACACAGGGACAGCCAAATTCAGTAACATCTACTGGGGCCGAGATACCCACGAAAAAAATTAGGCACATTATTTACTTTAAGAAACAAAAAATATAGACGCTCACAACATGCAAAAAGAAAAAGAGCAATAAAAATAGCCATTTTTTCAAAAAAAATCGCGGGGAATAAAAATAGTCATTGCAACAGGAAATTAAACTAGAGACTTATCATTGAAGCCTTATTTTTTGCGGAAAGGTGAAAACACAAATCCTTGAAAACGTCCCTGCTGAAATTGGAAAACACATCCAAATTGTCGGGAGTGACAAAGTCTTCTTTCTACCACACCCATCGATAGCGCGCCGTGAGCAAAACTTGTTGCTGTCTTTGGGCCACAGTCTCAACGGAGCAAACTTGTGTAAAAGCATGAGCTTGTAAAATCAGCGGAATAGAATTCATTAAACTATATAGAAACTCCTGATTTGAGTTAACAGAATTTTTAGGTGTGAATTATAGTGAAAAAGAATTCTTAGGAAAAGCCTCCGTTAAAATCCATGTATATGAATCAAAACAAACCACATAAAAAATTAAATAAATTTATTCTCTCCGTTTTTCTATGCAAAATAAAAATGAGACCATGAGCGAAAACGACAACTCACTAAGGTAGTGCCTCAAGCTGGGTTATGCAGGTAAAGGGGGGAAACAAATCACGAAAACAAAGGGAAAGCGACACGCTGTCTACAAGATAGAAGGATCTCGGTTCGCCATGATCATTGGAGCCTTGGTCAGTAGAGCTTATCGCAATGCTGCTCCCTTCATTTCATGTGACAGTGGCCAGGGTATTCTTTTTCCCCACCGTACACATTGGGTAAATTATATTCGTCTTTGCCGCCTCGTTGTGGATCCTTCTTAAAAACAAATTTGGCGACAGCGCCTCGTTGTGTATCCAGTTCGACACCATCCAGTCATTCGCGTAGGGAGTGGGGAGTGCCGGCTTGTCTGTTCGTTTTATTCTCCTAATTTTGTTTGGTGATGGCTGGTGAAGTGCATCTCGTGAGAAGCGATCAGGATATGACTCAGCTCCATATATGAAACAAATCAAAAGCGCGTCTGAACCCTTATTTTTTTCGACCATACGTGCGTGCATATACTACATCGCACGAGGAAACCGTGTCTTTGGTCCGCTTCCTGCACACTTCCATTGCCGTATTTTCTCTTCTCTTTTAAGAATTGAAGTGGTACCAACGGAAAGAATCTGTTGAATCTCGAGAACCCTACCGAGGATAGGAAAATTGTATGGTGCTTGGTCTTGTCAAAAGTTGAATGGTAATCGAAGTCTACATCACAGAAAATTGGGAATATATCACGTCTAATAGGAATGATCGCCAGGGACAGGGAAGAAATGGTGTCTAAGTTTCTAGTGCACCTGGCCAAGGACGCGAACTTATGTGGACATTCTTCTGTCCGTTAAACAATCCCTCGAGATGAGTTCTCTATCCCGCATGCTCGTTTGCTAGTAATAGGCAGTGGAGGGTTCTAGGCGTACAAGCTAGGCACAATTGTTTCATCGCGCGCAGCTGGACATGTGAAGAGTAAATAGATCAAAATCATCACATTTGTGGCTAGGGTATCTCAAAACCATCATTTTTGTCAAAAATCATAAATGACCATCACTTTTGCGTCAAGTGAGTAACAAATCATACTAAATCAGACTTGAGTCGTGACTAACAACAAAACTACTAGGTGGGACCTATATGTCTGTGCTGATGTGGCAAAGACTAGTCCTAGTTGATGTTTGACTTGCTAAGGTGGACAGGGACCCACCTGCAAGCCACACCTCTTATCTCCTCTCTCCTCTCCTTCCTTCCTACGTATTTCTCTTCTTGTCGCCGGCCCACTCCGGTGGGACAGACCCATTGCCGACTGTGATCAACCCTGTGGCCGCCGCCCGTCCTGCCCTCGGCCGAGGCAGAGGCCACCGTCGCCGTTGCTGGCCACGGTTGAGCCTGTGGTCGCGACCCGTCCTACTCGGGCCGAGGCAGAGGCCACCGTCGCCATTGCCGGTTGTGGTTGAGCCTGAGGCCTCTGCCTCGCCGGCGCAAGCACTGGATCACACTCCCCCCATCCTGAGCGAGAAGTAGAAGCAAGCGGCGTGAGCAGGTAGCAAATGGATGCGGGAGCAGGCGGATCGACCGAAACGGGAGCGACGACGTTGACCTGCTGCTGGCCGGGGCAGATTGATTCCTTCGCGTACCACCGTGTTGCGGGCGGCTCGGGCGGCAGGCTCCTGCCTTGCCCTAGACCTTCCCCGCCTCCCTACGCTCTGGATCTGGTCGTTCCCCGCGCCGCCGGAGTCAAAATCGTTGGTAGTGCTGGGGTAGTCGTCGGTGACGGGCCCCAATTTTTCTTGTGCGCGTGCGGCGCGACGAGGCCCTAGCACACCGCCTCCAGCACAGGTGCGGCGAGGGCGCTCCACCACAGGGCACCACCATGAGCGCGGGCGCGACCAGGCCATCCCGGCGGGCGCCGCGAGCACGGGCCTGCACATGGCGTTCCACGACGACGTGCGCAGCCAGGGCCTCCCGGCGGGCGCTGCAAGCACGGGGGCGGCCAGAGCTTGGCGTGACCATCGACCAACAAGGGCGGCGTGCAGTGCAGTGGCGTTCCTGTCCATGTGGAGAGGAAGAAAATTAAGAGGGGAAAATAAAATGCGTGGCTGACATATGGGACTCTGTCCAACTCAGCAGGTCAACACATTGATTAGGATTAGTCTTCGCCAGATCAGCCTATAGATAGGTCCCACCTGTCAATTTTGTTGTTAGACACTGCTCAGTTTGGAATTAGTGCATTTTGTTATTCACTTCACGCAGAAGTGATGGTTTTTTGTGATTTTTGACAAAAAGCAATGGTTTTGAAGTATCCTTGTCACAAATGTGATGGTTTTGAGTAATTTATTCACATGCGAACGAGCTGGCACAGAAGGTAAATGCGAGCGATGATGAATGCCATCTGACTAGTAAAAAGGGTGACGAGAGTATCTAGTGCTATCAAGACTTAGATGCTACCGTGATACGGGCATCTGGGCCGTCAGATTCTTAGATCAGACGGCATCCGGGAGCTGTTGGATCTGCTGGACCTATACACAATTTTTAGACTCGCCGTAGGCTTTTTTGCAACTGTTGTAGAGTTGTTGAGAGCCGTCTGATATGAAAATCCGACGGCCCAAAGCTTATATCACGGTAGCACCTAAAGGTTGGTAGCACTAGATATTTTCCCGACTTGAGCGGACGGTGTATGGTGATAGGTGGTGGGCCACAACAACTTTTGGCACGTCGGGATGTGACAAAAGAAACACCGCCATTGTTCCATCCTGTATAGGTGTGCATGTTCTGGTAACACCATGCGTTAATCTTGCCATTCCCAGGCAGAGGGGTGTGCGACCTGTGCAGGAGGACTGGGCATTCGGTTTAACCGAACCGTTCGGTTCGGTTCAGGTGGGTGTGCGTCTGTCTGGCTCTCGGGGAAGATCAGTAAGAGCATCTCCAGTTGTTGAACCCTTAGGACGCATAAAAATCGCCCCCTGGGGGCGAGCCGGCGATACAATCGGCGTTGGGGGCGGTTTTGCGTCCAGCCGTCGCCCCCAAGCGCTGAAATTGGCTCACTTTTCAGTCTCATTTTGGCGAATAAAAGGCCCATATGGGCGAGAATAGGCCCATATTCGGCGTGGTTTGCCGTGTCTCGGCATTCAATTATCAACACATTTTTTTCTTATCACATATTTCATCACAGAAAAATCAAATACTTCAACAAAATAGTACAACAACAAAAAGTTCAATACAAATTATATAGTTCAACAAATAAAAACTCATATTTCATCACACATCGCGCCCGTCGTCCCCCTTGAGCCTTCATAGGTGCTCAATCAGATCTTTCTGCAGTTGATGATGCACATGTGGGTCTCGGATCTCCTGATGCATACTGAGATAGGCAGTGCAGGTTGCCGGTAGCTGGTGATCAACTTCGGCTAGAGGACCCTGCCTGTAGTATGGTTCAATGTCAAACACTGGGTCTTATTGCTCGCTCTCGATGATCATGTTGTGCAAGATGACACAGCAAGTCATAATATCCCACATTTGATCTTTGGACCAGGTCTGAGCGGGGTATCGGACAACAGCAAATCGAGATTGGAGCACACCAAATGCCCGCTCGACATCCTTCCTGCAAACCTCCTGAATCTTCGCAAACCAGGCGTTCTTGCCTCCTGGCACAGGGTTTGAGATCGTCTTCACAAATGTCGACCATCTCGGATAGATGCCATCAGCTAGATAGTACCCCTTGTTGTAGTGTCGCCCATTGATCTCAAATATCACCGGAGGAGAATGACCTTCAACAAGCTTAGCAAAGACAGGAGAGCACTGCAACACGTTGATGTCATTGTGAGTTCCTGGCATACCAAAGAAGGAGTGCCAAATCCAGAGGTCATGTGTGGCCACCGCCTCAAGTACCACACTGCAACCGTCTTTGGCGCCTTTGTACATCCCCTGCCAAGCAAATGGGCAATTCTTCCATTTTCAATGCATGCAGTCGATGCTTCCAAGCATCCCAGGAAATCCTCTTACTGCATTCTGTGCTAGGATCCGAGCAGTGTCTTCCGCATTGGGTGTTCTCAAGTATTGCGGTCCAAACACTGCCACCACTGTCCGACAGAACTTATAGAAACACTCTATGCTGGTGGACTCGGCCATGCGCCCATAATCGTCGAGTGAATCACCGGAAGCTCCGTATGCAAGCATCCTCATCGCTGTCGTGCACTTCTGGATGGAGGTGAATCCAAGGGCGCCGGTGCAATCCATCTTGCACTTGAAGTAGTTGTTGAACTCCCGGATGGAATTCACAATCCTGAGGAAGAGCTTTCGGCTCATCCGATAACGGCGCCGAAATGTTTTCTCGCCGTGAAGTGGAGCATCGACAAAGTAGTCGGAGTAGAGCATGCAGTAGCATTCGAGACAATGTCGGTTCTTTGCTTTCACCCGCCCCGGCGCCGAGCCACCTCGCCGCGGCTTTTCATTGCTCGCCGGCAGCTGGGCGAGGGCGGCGAGCACCATGAGATGCTCTTCTTCCTGGACGTCGGCCTCGGCTTCCTCCTCTAGCAGCGCGGCGAGCGCTTCCTCGTCATCCGAGTCCATCGCCGAGGCAGGCAAATCGCCGAACACCTTGCGCCCGGTGGGCGTGTACCCGCCGCTAAAATGCACCTCCGTGGCCGGAAACGACGGCTGGAAACGCACAGCTGCTGTTGGAGGGGCTGTCGTGGCGAAGCTCTGCTATTTTTCCGGCGGAGAATGGCTATCTAGCGGTGAAGGGCGGCGGACGGCGCCGGGATATAGCTAGTGGCGGCCGAGGGCGCGGGGGTGGGAGGCGAGTTGGGAAAGAAAACCTTGACTTTTCCCCTGACGGTGTGGGCCAGCCGCGCTTTTCCCTTGCGCCGGAGCCCCCAATTGCCCCCCAGTGCGCCGGGTTCGGTCTGTGACCGCCGAGCGAAAAAAAGGGCCGAACCGGCGATTTCGGCGTTCTGGGGACGCGACTGAGGCGTTTTTTTGGCGCCAGTGCCGAAAAAAGTAGCCTGGGCGGGCCTGTTGAGGGCGCGACTGGAGATGCTCTAAATGATGCATACTAGAGCTCTCAGAAACAGCTATAAAAGAGCTGGCGCTCTCTCTCTCTCTCTCTCTCTCTCTCTTGAACACAAGAGCTGGCTCTCTCTCTCTCTCACACACACAAGAGCTGGCTTTCTCTGTGAAGTTATGTTCAGATGCCTAAATCAAATGTAACATCGAATGCTATGCTACTGCTGCTGTTATTTATGCATGACTCTTTGCAAGACGCGTTGATGCATTCCACAATGACTTCGGTCTGGTCTTTCAGCTGTCGCTTCTTTTTCCACCACTATCAATTTGACTGGTTGGTCAGTACGTAGTACTGCCTCCGCCCCCAGAATAAGTGACTCCAGACGAAGGGAGTAATATGCATATACGCTTGGTCTCCTGGAGCTGGCGCCTGGTGCACCAGCGCATTTGCAGATCATATATGAATTCCAGGGGCCTACCAAAGCTTAGTCTGAATAAGATTGTGTGACGGTGAGAGCACACTAGTGTAGCAGACGCATGCATCGTGGACTACCGGACTTTGACTTGGGTAGGCCGTACTGGACTCGCTCACAGCCTCCATCCTCCTGCTGTGATAACCATGGACTGGACCGCCAGGAACAAGACGCTGCGATGAGCGCCCAACCTCTCAAGCTTCTTCAGAGCTTTCAATCAATCTGACAGAGCCCCCACTCTCGAGAACCAGCATCATGATTTTCTCCCCTGCTTCGTCTAAAATCTACAGTACGAACGATATGGTAGTAGAACACAAGCACAAGAACAAGGGTAGACATTGGTCGCAACGGTGATGAAGCACAACTATGACTATCTCTGGTTAATTTTCCGACCAACTGTAAATCTAACATCACATACAGTTTTAACTCTGTACCTACCAATTTCATCAAGCATCTACTGTTACTTCAGGCAAGGGGCCTTCCAACACAAAGGCCTCTCCGAGAACCAGACAGATTACACTATCACCACAAAACAACACAAGCTAGGCTAGCTCTTTTTCTTCCCCCCAACAAAGTATCTACATGGCACAGACAGAGATTAAGCTGTGCTTATTCTTTCTTTTCCTCTTCTTTTCTTTTTTGAGGGAAATGGGGAGACACCATGAGATTCCAGTCACAGCAGCGCAGGCTGCGTTCCGGCGGCATGGTGAAAATCTGACGACGACTTGGGAACGACAAGTTAAAGTCAGGATGTACATGATGGTGAATTATTTTGTAGATTAACCCTCTGCTATTGCCGCACCGGGTGTGCACAATGTAGCGGCATCTTTCTCTTGGCTTGACATGTCTTTGGTACATGATGGTCAACTATGTCTTGCGTCAGCTGGAGAGTGGCGGGAAATCTCCGTTGTCCTTAAGATGATATGGCCCACCATTCCTGCAAATTGTACATACGCGATTACCAATTGTGAATGATTCAATGCTGAAAGCATACAAGTTAAAGGTGAATGCGGCAACAAACAAGACAAGAGAAATGCATGAATGCCATATACCAATCAGAAGCCTACAGGGGATGGCACATGTTAAACTGCCCAGTCTTTAACCATACTACTGGGATGATCAATAATCAACATTATCCCAAAGGAAAGACATAACAGACAGGAGCGATGAAGATTAATGTAACATAAGAGTGGACGGGTTCGGCCATGCTAATTAGGAGTATCCCAAAGGAAAGACATTAACACACAAAACAGAAGCGATGAAGATTAACGTGGACGGTCCTTTTAGTGAAGTACGAAAAATAGCGGGCACTGGTTTTTAGTAATGTGGGAGAGCAAGGGCAGACCATAATACAGTGATCTGGATAATGACCATACTAATATATTTTGCAGAAGCTCTGACCTAACACTAAAAGTATATTAAAGGAAGTGCGTGTCAATAGATAATAATCCAGCTGTAACATCTAAAGATAAAGCTACCAGCTAGGTGGCCCTCCCATGAAAGAGACGGTGTTAATACTTTTGACGACTAAAGTAATGCATCATACGTACCTCATGCGATTAGAACCCTTTCCAGGATTT